GTCTTAGTATTTTCCTTTCAAACCGATCTATTCGTTCAGCAGATGCCTTTGTTAGAGTCCATGTTTCACACGCATATGTTGCAACTGGCCGAATAATCGTTTTGTATATCCTAAACTTCGTTGTACAACTTAACAATCTACTTTTCAGAAGGCTAGCTAGAGAAAAGTACGCTCTGTTGGCAGCCACTATTCGAGCTCCTATCTCCTCCTCTTCGTTATTGCTATTGTTAATTATGGACCCGAGGTAGGTGAAGCTTAATACAGCTTGAAAAGTATGGTTTCCCAGGACATAGTGCTGTGGTGGATGAACAAGCTTTTTCTTCCTTAAAACCAGGACCATGGTTTTACTTTCGTTGATGCATAACCCCATTTCCAGTGCTTCATTATCCAACCTATTGAATTTATTCTTCACTGCTTGAAGTGATCGCCCTGAAATTAACATATCGTCAGTATATGCAAGCAGTTGGGTCATTTTGTGGAATATTGTTCATCCGTTATTTAATTTTGCTTCTCATTATGGTCTCTAGAGAAATATTAAAGAGGAGTGGGGCTAATGAGTCACCTTGCCTAAGGCCCGAACAAACTGCAAAGGAGTCGCCAATTCTTCCTTTTACCTTAACTCTACTGACGGTGCCTTCCATGGTAGCCATTGTTAAAGGAATAAGCTTTGCTGGTATGCACAATTCATACATTGCATAACAAAGCTCCACTCTAATCACCGTGTCGTACACCGCCTTAAAACCAATGAAGAGCAACCACATGGAGTTATTATACTCTTTTATTTTTTCCATGCTCGGTCTAAGGGCAAACATTTGATCGATCGATTGGTCCTAAAGCCACCCTGGTAGTCACCAAGCTGTCTTTCCACGTATGGCATAATGCGATTATACAGAACAATAGAGAATACCTTATAAGCAGAATTAAGTAAGCTGATACCTCTGTAATTTCTGCAATCACTTACATCTCTTTTCTCTTATAAATTTGGACAATGAGGGACTCTTTCCATTCTTCCGGTAGTTTTTCTATCTCCCAAATATTTGCTACTAATTTGTTCTTTCATCTGAAAGGCGACTCCCCCCTTGTTTGAGAAATTCACCAGGGATCCTGTCTGATCCCGCTGACTTATTATTCCTAAGCTTTCCCAAAATATTTTCGATGTCGTCCGAATCAGGTGGCATGCCTTCATCCATATCTTCATCTTTTATTGATTGTATGCTTCTACGGTTTCCGATTTCTTCATCTGCGGGGTTGAGTAACTTCTGGAAGTGCTCTTTCCATCTCTCCTGTAACTCGTTCTCCACAACAAGCAACTTTCCATTCTTATCTCTTACCATACCCGACTCATTCACAGAACCGACTTTGGCGGTATTTACGTCCTGAAAGAAATTTCTTGTTTTATTCCTAAGCCTTGCCTCTTCAATGTTTTTCACTTTTTCCTGAAAGGCTTTTCTTTTTTTAGGTCTCAACACTTTCTTAGAATGGCTCCTTGCTTATTGGTACTCTCTGCGATTCCGAAGAGTGTCTCTGTTCAGGTATTTTGCTCTCTTAATATTCCTGATTTTTATGACTTCTTCACGTTCCTGATCATACCAGGAAGTGGGGGTAACTCTCCTATCTTTCTTGCAGCATTGATCGGCAGCTTCCTCTATTACTTGTTTAAGTTTGTTCCATTCTTCCTGCACGTTCCTGCCATCTTCACTTGCTGGTATATTCTCAACCCCTCTTTCAATGCAGTTTTAAATACAGAGGTAAAATACTTTTTACCTCCTCTCTATTTATTTTATCTTTGTCCCAGCTGTGGACAACGAATAAACGAAATTAAATAAACGACATTAGTTATATTAAAAAAAAAACTAATTGATAGCCGAAACACGAATATCAGCCCGAAAATAGACGATCTTTATATAACTTCTCATAACCTACCAGGCGATTTTCATCCTTTACACAGCTAATATCGTGTCCGTTGTACCAAAATGTTTAGGCAACTTTTCAAATTAAGGTAAGGCAAATAACATATAAGTTATTAATAGGCAATATTCAAATTTTACTGGGCATCATTCTACTTTTATGCAGTGGACTGTATTTTAATGACATTTTGTTAGGTTATACTGATTGTGCAAAATTAGGTTACCATCTTTATGCCAACTTACATCTCTTCAATACATTGAGAGTGCCCTCGGAGCATCTGAAGCATCTGCTGTGACTGGCTATCTGTTTTCGCACAAACAAGGTAATTTAAGAATATCAGCCTTCAAATAGAAGATCTTCATATAACCTCTCATAACCTACCAGGCTATTTTTCTCCTTTACATACGGCAAAACATTGCTAATATGGAAAAAAAAACTATTTAATCGTGTCAGGTGGACCAAAATGTTTAGGCAACTTTCCAATTTTTAAATAAGGCAAGGCAAATAACTCTCATGAGTTACCAATAGGCAACATTCAATTTTTATTGGGAAACATTGTACTTTTATGCCTTGGACCGTATTTTAATGGATTGGTAGGTTATACTGATGTGCAAAAATAGCTTACCATCTTTATGCCAGCTTACATCTCTTCATAACATTGAGGGCGCCCTCGGAGCATCTGAAGCATCTGCTATGACTGGCTGTCTGTTCTGTTCTGAGCATCACTCTTACGGCTTAATTGTTATATTTTAGATATTCTGATCTGCCCCCACCACTAGCCATAACGAGGAAAATTTGAAATATTTTCTCCCAAACAGTAGATCTCCTACCTCTAAACCTGGTTGATATTTTCCAACTTCTCTTTATGCTAATGGAAGAAGTTTCATATAAATTATATTAGAGAGAACCTTGTAGGCGCATTGTAGAAGTGAAATACCGCGGTAGTTGGAGCATTCCAGGATGTTGCCTTTTTTATGAAGCGGATAGACTTCTCTTCCACTGTTCTGGCAGTTTTTTCTTCAATCCACACCGTGAGAATAATAGCAAAGAAGGCTCTCAAAAACTCTTCTCTGTTATACTTCAATAGCTCGGCTGGAATCCCATCTTCACCTGGAGTTGTTTTAAGCTTATTCAAAGCATCCCCAACATCATCGTGAGTGGGTGGATCGGGAATTTCTGTATCATCCTCACTACCAGTTATCTTCCACTCTTCATGATCTTTGTCATTCAACAGACTGTCGAAATGACGTGACCGCCGTGCCATTATTTCATCTTTGCCCGCGGCCATGGATTCATCCTCCTTTCTACATGCCCTGACCCTTGATTTGAAGCTGGTCCTGCTCTGTTTGATCCTCTGATAAAAGAGTCTTGATTACCTCTATCTCCTTCAGCTGCTTCCACTCCCATTTCCTTTTCTTTCTTCGGTGAAGCCTTTTCTCCTCTCTTCTCCTGTCCGAATACTCTTCCAATCCTCTCCTTGTATGGCGCTTTTGGATTATGTTTTTTATAAGCTTCACTTTTTCGTGTTTCACTTTAGTGGCTGTCGCCCACTCTCCGTCAAACCAATGAGATCTCACTCTTCATTCCCAAGGATTTCCTGGATCACTCTATTAACCAATGATGAGAGGACTTTCCATTGTTTCTCAACAGAGGCCTCCGCTATGCCGACACTCATGAATGTTTCATCAAGCCTACGACGGTACGGTTCCCTAACCTCTGGTTTCTTAAGTTTGGCTTTGTCTACTCTCACCTTTTTCATTTCCAAGATCTTCCTTGTATTTCCTATCCTGGCTCTCATTTTGCAAACCAACATATAATGGTCGGTATCCATATTAGCTTATCGGTAGAATATGCAACTAATCAAGTCAGAGCTATGTCTCCTACTGATGAAATATGGTCAGTTTGATCCACAGTCCTACCATCTGGGGATCGTCATGTTCCTTAGTGCATCCTCTTTCCTGAGAATAGTGTGCTGTCCACTGTTGTTATGTCCAGTCTTGGAAGCAGCCAAGTTTATACACAAGTTCAATCTGTTTAAACTAGTTATTTCCAGTGCCGGCCTAAGGAAAACCGGTTCAATTGCCCCGAGGCGGCGATCTGGAAGTGTGGCCGTTGGGAGAGCCAGCTCATCTTCAGGAGCGCTCGAGACTTGTAAGAAATAAAAAAACAAGTTACAAAATTTATCAAAGTAATTAATTTTGGCCAACCAATAATGTAACAGTATTAGAGAAATAATGAATAAAATGAAATTCAAATAATGGACAATATAAAATAATCAATGACCTCCAAAACTTCATTGAACACCAAAACCTTACTATTCTCATCCTTCTAGATTTTCCCAAAGCGTTTGACACAGTTGACCGTAACATCCTCCTCACTAAATTACACAATCTTCCTCTATCGAACAGTACCCTGCGTAGTTGTCCCAGGTCAACCTCCATCTAAAACCCTCCCCCTCTCCTGTGGTGTCCCTCAAGGTTCCCTCCATCTCCTTCTATGTTTGCCATTTATATTAATGACCTTCCCCTCCTGATCCATCACTCCCAATACCATATCTATGCAATACCGTATCTCTGAGGCTCCTTAGCCCACATTTTTGTCCTTCTGTATTATTCTAAAGGGACTCGTCCCAGAATAAATAAAGCATTATTATTATTATTATAAAACAGCTAAAGAAAGAAATTAGTTTTTTTTATGGGGGAAGGATGAAGTCATTGCCCGGGGGCGCCAAATGTCTGAGGCCGACACTGGAATTTGAATTACTTTTTAAAAGAAATGATTTATTATATTATATTTTACACGGAACAGGTGACTTGAATAATAATTTAAAATAACATTTCTGGATATTTATTCTGTTTTATATAATCGTTTTAGAGTTTTTAAACTATTGAGATTTAAAAAAAAATAATTAATTTAAAAATCAGAAATTAAGTGATATTAAAATTGGTCCAATATTGCATCCACATTTTCCAGTTTTATACTCCTCCTAAATCTTTCATTATTATTCATATAGTTTAAATTGATAGAATTGTCTGCACATGCTGAATTTCTAACTGTCTTTGTAACAGATGTCATTAATTTATATGTTGCAGCATCTAAACCACAACTAACTTACAAGTTTATTCAGCAAACTGTACAACCAGGCCCGGCAATGTCACTGAAATGTATAGCCATTGGAAATCCTACACCTCAGATAACATGGGCAGTTGATGCTTTTCCACTTGCAATGAATGAAAGGTATTAATATATTTTTTTTAATCTCTAAATTAAACAAAGTTTTGTTAATTTAAATGGATACTTTAGCTTGTTAGGTTTATCTGAAGGTTGTTTGTTGAAGAGACTTAATTCTTTGGATCACCATGCCAAAATATAAAGGAGGAAGTAAGGTTTGAAACAAGAGGGTTCAGATGGTTCTGAAGTTTGTTATGGAAGGATAGGTATCTGGATTGGGTCAAATCGGAAACATATAGAACACTAAGGTCGTTATGGATGATTTTATTAGTGATATATATATATATATATATATATATATATATATATATATATATATATATGATTTTATTTGTACTTTATCTTTTTATTTATATATCTTTAGCTTGTTAAATTTAGCAAGAGGTTGTTGAAGAGACTTAATTCCTTGGATCACCAATCCAAAATATAAAGGAGGAAGTAAGGTTTGAAACAAGAGGGTTCGGATGGTTCTGGAGTTTGTTATGGAAGGATAGGTATCTGAATTGGGTCAAATCGGTAACATATGGAACGCTAAGGTCGTTATGGATGATTTTATTTGTGACAAAGTAAGGAGAGTTGAAGATTTTACGAAGGATTTTGGATTGTAAGCATTGGATACGAGAGGAATTCGATGGTTTAGTGGAGCCCCAAAGCTCTATTCCGTAAGTCGAAATAGGTCTTACGATTCACAGATGTACCTATCATTTTTCCCTCCTGAGTTACTGGGGGCATTTTCCAAGATCCAAGAAGACCTAGATCGAATCAGTGCCTGGGCAAATGTAAATGGATTACGGTTAAATGCTTCCAAAACTCAGGCCATTGTCATTGGTTCCAAGCCCCTCCTTAGATCCTATACAGACTTTCCCATCCTTCACGTTAATGATCAGCCAATCTCCTTCTACTCCTCTGTTAAAAATTTAGGATTTTTCATTGATCAAAACCTCTTTTGGAATCACCATATTTCTCATATCACTCGACGGACAATTTCCACCCTCAAACTATTCCATCGCTTCCGCCATCTCCTACCTCAACATACGCGTAGACTCCTAGTTTCCTCTCTCATTTTCCCCCACTTTCACTATAGCTGTGTGGTGTATGATGGCCTCTCTGTGGAGCTCCGTGATAGACTGAAAATACTAATGAACAGATGCGTAAGATTTGAGATCGGGGCCCCAAGATACTCCCATGTTTCTCACCACTACGCTGAGTTAAAGTGGCTTTTCCCCTCCTTCCGAAGACAATATTTCCTAGGTACGTTCCTCTACCAAATCATCAACAACCATCGTCCTTCTTACGCCTACAACCTTCTCCAGTTCAAATTCTCAGTCCATTCCCTGTCCACAAGTTTTTTTTTACATTATTTCTTTTTTTTTGATTGATTTTATTTTGGCCAGATGTAATATATTAATTTTGTTCTATTTTGTTATTCTGAAGGGACTGTGTCCCAGAATAAAGTTATTTTTCTATTTCTATTTCCTTTTCTTATTATTGTCATATGTATGAGTCTTTGGTAATTGATTGAATGGTTAGAGCATTTGTCTAGTAATGGCTGGAGTAGTCTGAAACGTCCAGCGGTTTCTTATCGTTTCAGTCTTGTATGAGGATTCCATTTGAGTCGTTAGTCCAGGTGGAGTCCAGGTTTAACTAGGTGGGGAATTGTTAAAGAATTCAGCAGGGCAGAAGGTCATAGCTTTGTGGGGCAGGGTAAAATAATTGTCTTTCATATATTGGAATCTATTTTAATTCTAAAGTGTTTACACCATTCATCAAGGTCTGTGATATGTGATTGGAGAGTTTGGGATACCGCTATAAGAAAGCATTTATAAGTAAGATAAGAACGGATAATGAGGTAATATGTAGGTGGAATTTTTGCAGTTTTTACATCAGTCCCGGGTGCCAGACTCTATCAAACGCCTGTTGAAAGTAGAAAAAGACACCCGTGCAGTACATTCCGCTCTCCAATGCAGAGGAAACTGCGTCTACCACACGATGACATTGCTGAATAATGGGCTGGGATGTGCGGAATCCGAATTGATGATCTGGGATAATGTGATTGGAATCTAGGTTGGGGTAAAGACGTTTTAGGAAGAACTTTTCCAGGATGTTGCCCAGGATAGGCAAAAGGGAGATAGGGCTATATGACAATGGGTATTTTGGTGACTTTTAGGTTTATATATCATTTTAATAATAGATAATTTCCAACGGTCAGGAAAATATGTGAATAGCAGTAAAGTACTACATATATAAGTAAGGAATAGAATGGTTTACCGAGGAAGCAGTTTTAGGATTTTGGATGCAATTAGGTAATGTCCAAGAGCTTTTCGGGAAGGTAACATGTGAATGCCATTGGATATCTCCAAAGGATGAAAGGCTTTAGGTGGAAGAGACATTTGGAGTAAGATATCTAGTCCTGCTTCAATACATTAAAGGAAATTTGGGTTGAGAATATGAGGATGTGGATTAAAGGTTTTAAAACGGTGATGAGCAAGTATTTGGGATTTTTTTTTAACGGATTTGGACCAGATTTGAGCTCCAGTAGGAAGTAGATGATTACAGTCTTTAAATTTCAGGAGCCTTTTGTGGTCGTCCAAAGTTATTTGAAGGCAGGTGTAAGTTTTTCAGTAAATTTTGAATTTTGTATTTTCTAATTTTTGATTTTAGTCTGTTAGTCAGTTGGGTGTAATGAATTTTTTTTTTCAGTTGGATTTCTAGTTCTATGCCACTTCGATCTTGCTCTGGGTATTCTGGTGGCTTTTTAGGTTTATGTATCATTTTCACAATAGCCAGTTTCCATGGGTCAGGAATGTGTGTGGATCGGAGTACAGCATTAGATAGATAGATAAAAAGTAAACTTTATTCTAGGGCGAATTCCCTTATGAATAACAGTTATGAACAAAAAAATAAAAACTACATCTGGCAAAAAATTACATTATTATTATTAATTATTTTTTTGTTAGGTGAGGTGCACCCCAACCCAGAGGCAGAGTTTCGGCGAGTCTTTTGAAGAGTACGCCTTTTTAAATATTGAGAGTCAGTTTCGTTTATTTCAGAAAAGGGCTGAAACTTCGCTTTAAGAGTTCTTATCCACATTCATAGTGTCCATGTTTACGATAAGAGGGAAAAAAATATATACCTAAATAAAACAATTAGAGAGATAAGAGATATCTACGAGATATACATATCTACGAAATGTAATAAAATAAAACATTTCTAGAAGTACATAAACAATTAAAGATAAAAATAATGCAGTCAATGTAAAAACAAGTTTAGATTCTAACTTGAAGTCGAGTTCTGCGCATGCGTTAGCCTTAGTTAAACATACGTCAGGTCGTCTCTTATAAAATTCATCATTAATAGTGGCAGTGTTCAACTTCAATGCGAAACAATAGCGTTACTTGTTATATTAACAATTAAGTTTGTTACTGAACAAAAGAATAAGGTGAGTAATCACTTATTTACAGCTCAATAGTGAACAGTGTAAATAGACCTCAGGTTAGTTATTGATAACGGCCGGCCATATACATCGCTAATCCCATCATTAAGCTCCGGCTCTCCGTCCGAGGAAGGTCTGTGCTAACCAGTCCTCTCCAAGCACTCGTATATATTTTCATATTTAAAAAAATATACATATATTTTTATCGCTTCTCATTTAACAATTTTTCCTATCATTTATAATATGAAAGGCGATATCATCATATGCTAATGTCGAGCAAGGGCAAAAATACTAGGTCCAGGAGCCTCGATACTACAATAAGTTCTCCTATTAAAAAAAGAACAAGGCGTTCGAAAAGAAATAATCCACCAGCCACACCAGGGAGCTCTGTTGAAGAAGTGGAACCCTAACCTGTTACCTCACAACAACATAACAATCATGAGACAACTCAGACTGGTGAAGAATCTCCGTTTTTCACTCAGAACACATTTCAAGTGCTATCAGATACGCAAAACGAACAAATGGAAGCAGCACCCACCCCCAGAGAACTCAAACCCCCACCAATATTCGTTAGGAATATTAAAAACTTTCAGTTAATGTGTCACCAATTGAATAACCTAATGAGATCAGGAAAATATTTATGCCAAAGCCGCACCAATGACACTAAATTAATGCCCAACACTCCAGAAACATATAGAAAAATTATAAAATATATATCTGACACCAAGGCTGATTACCACACGTACCAAATTCGTCAAGAGAGGGCGCTCACGGTCGTTATCAGAAGACTGCACCCATCTACGCCAACAGATGCTATAAAAGAAGAGCTCGTGGGTATGGGATTCCATGTTCGCCAGATATTGAACATATTCAAGGAGGATAGAGAACAGCCTGAAATAAAAAATAAAATACCGCTCCTACTATTCTTCGTTGATCTTGACCTAACGCCCCAGGTCGAAGACATCTACAAGGTCACACGCCTTTATTACAGCAGCGTTGTTGTAGAAAAGCCTTGCACCCAGCGCGACATCGTTCAATGCCATAACTGCCAGGCTTATGGCCATACGAAACGATATTGTCATCACATTCCTAGATGTGTGAAGTGTGGTAAGCAACACAAAACAGAAGACTGTAGGAAGTCTAAAATTTCACCTGCAGTATGCGCTTTATGCCACCAAGGGCACCCTGCCAACTACAAGGGTTGTCAAACATATAAAGAATTAGAAAGAAGAATGTATGCAACTCCTAGAGAAGAAGGGAGATCCAGGCCACCAAGACAAATTTCTAGAACAGTGAACGGAAGAGTGACCTATGCTCAGATGTTCAAAGGAGACACTATAAACATTCAATCTCAGGCCCTGGCACAAGAACCTCAACCTCGAGAATTCACACATCAACCTCAAGACCCATATCCCTCCATCCCTGAACCTAGGTTCAATACCCAGACATCCAGATCCACAAATTCCCGAGGGCAAACACTGCTATTTGCACTTAATTCCCATCGCAGCAACATCCTTTCACCTAATACTCCCACTTACTGGCCAACAGATCCCAACCGCAATCCCGACCTTCTAGACTTTTTCCTACACAAAGGTCTAGGATCACTACACTGTTCCATTTCAAGGCTTGATGATCTTTCCTCAGACCACAGTCCTCTAGTCCTAACCGTTTCCACATCACCCATTCCTGAATCATCCCCTCCTTCATTTATCAGGGGACCAGTTAACTGGAACCTTTTCTGTCAAATATTGGATGATAATATAGACCTCAGAGTTTCCTTAAAAACAACTGAAGACCTTGACGATGCAGTCGACTCCCTCTCTACCCTTATCCAGCAAGCAGTTTGGACTGCATCCTCACCTGATCGTCCCAAAAAACACCTCAGTATAAATCCTCTACCCCAAGACCTATTGGACCTTATCCATAGCAAATGATGCTCTAGGGCCCTCTGGCAAAGAACCAGGCATCCTGATGATCGGAAATCGTATAATTATTATTCCAAACAGATAAAAAAGAAAATTGATACCATTAGAACTCAATCCTACAATTCCTACCTTTCCTCATTATCATCTAGTGATAACTCCCTCTGAAATGTAACTAAAAAAATCCTTAAATACCAATCCATTTCCCACCCCCTCCGTCGTGATGATGGTTCCTGGGCTTCGTCAGATGCGAATAGAGCTGAAGAGTTTGCTAAACATTTATCCAACACATTCACTCCCCGTCCCGAACTCCATGCCACCCACATTGCTGAAGTTAAAGAATTCCTCTTTTCACCAATTCCTCTCTCTCTACCTCAAAAACCTGTAAATCCCTCTGAGGTCAAATTCCTCATAAACAAATTAAAACCCCGAAAATCCGCTGGATATGATCTCCTCACTTCACAAATCCTTAGACAACTTCCCAAAAAAAAAATTATTTTCCTGACCTATCTATATAATTGCATCCTTCGTACTACCAACTTTCCCTTGATGTGGAAACACTCCATAATCGTGCTGTTTCAAAAATCAGGCAAACCTGTTAATAACACTTCATCTTACAGACCGATAAGCTTACTCCCTATCCTCTCAAAAATATTTGAGAAAATCCTTCTCAAATGCACCCTACCCATGCTAGAATCCCACAACATCCCTTCTCATAAATTTTTATTCCGCTCAAGACATTCCACTGTCCAACAAGGCCTTCGTGTTTTGGACCATATATACTCTGCACTTGAAAAAAAAGCAATATTGCACTGGTGCCTTTCTGGACGTAGCGCAAGCTTTCGACCGGGTGTGGCACGATGGCTTGCTTTTCAAGCTCAAAACCCATTTACCCCAATCCATATACCTAGTCCTCAAATCTTATCTCTCAAATCGTTCCTTCCAAGTCCGTTGCTGCACCGAATCCTCCACTTACTATCCAGTTGAGGCTGGTGTTCCACAAGGCAGTGTTTTGGGTCCAGTTCTCTACTTCCTTTTCACTGCCGATATCCCTTCAAATCCCGATACCTTCCTAGCTACATTTGCTGATGATATTGCCATTCTATCCTCCCACTCAGATCCTCAAATAGCATCTTGAAACCTACAATCTCACCTCTCCTTGATTGAGCAGTTGTGCAACAACTGGCGCATCAAAATCAATGAAGCAAAATGCAAGCATGTAACTTTCACTCTTCGACGCAGATCCTTGTCTTGTCCGATACCTTGGCTTCCTTTTGGACAAAAGACTGACTTGGAACTCACGTACCAGACTTAAAAGACAAGAGCTTAACCGACGATTTGGTCAGCTATATAGACTACTAAACAGAACATCTCATCTCTCAACAGAAAACAAATTATTAATCTACAAGACAATACTGAAACCTATCTGGACCTACGGACTTCAACTGTGGGGAACTGCTAAACATTCGAATATCAAATGCATCCAATCCTTCCAGTCCAAAGTACTTAGAACAATAGTCAATGCCCCATATTATGTCACAAATAAGACCCTACACCATGACCATAACATCCCATTTGTCCTCGAAATCATTCCATCCAGATTCTCAAACATTCACCAGAACCTTATCCATCATCCAAATGCTCTAGCTCAATCCCTATCCAGCTCCCACCATCTCTACGATCCCCCTCGAAGGTTAAAACGGCAGTGGCCGCGAGATCTATTGTAAATATGCTTCTGGAGTCCTGGCAATGACCAGCTTCTCCACTCAAGTCCTCAGCATCTGTGGCTCTAGTGCCCTCATTCAGCCTCCACTGGCTTCTAATGCTAGTGATGCGGCTGGAAAAGTGGCACTGGGATCTCTGGAGTCCTGCTTTGTCTTCCACATGTGAGGAGAAAAGCCTGGCTCGGAGATTCCTGGGCGAATGTATATATTGTATATAGGTATGAATGTGTTTAAAAGTTTGTATTTTATTTTATTTTTTCCTATTGATTTACATTTTTTTATAAGTATTATTTGTTTACTTTTTATATTTATAGTTATTTCTTTATTATTTGTATATACTGTATGAATGAGAACTTCTAGCCTTAATACTTATAGCACTCCAACAGTGTCTGATTGTATTATTATTCAATAAAATTTTAAAAAAATAGAAAAAAACTTGAACTCGTGCGTGGATGATTAGCCAAAGTAAGGATGTAAATAATGGCCTGACCGTGACCTTAACGCAAATAAGATAAGACCCGCTTGGGAATTACCAGCTACATTAGCTAACCAAATAAGCAACAATTTATAAATTATTCATTGTTAATAAATAGTAACTCACCTGGATATCCATGAACAACAAAATGTACAATTGTTTATGAAGTTACTATTGACCAAGTCTTACACAAGAATTTTAAATATTAAGAACATTACTAATTAACAAACTTAGAGCGATATGAAAGGTAAACTTCAGTTGCGGCCATGACACTTGCTACTGAAAGTTTAAAATGAAATTTGATTGAATTGATGCTAATTTTTAATATTCTATTGTTGAAGTAAGGTTATCTTTTATTTTTATTTTAACAGATTTCTCATAGGCCAGTACGTTACACTGAATGGAGATGTTGTAAGCCATGTAAATATTAGCAATGTACGTGTGGAGGATGGCGGAATTTACCAATGTAAAGCATCTAATAAAGTTGGTGAAACTTTTCATAGTGCAGAAATGCGAGTTTATGGTAATATGTTTTAATAATATATTTTCTTAATGTAAGGCATGCCGTCTCATAAAAATCATATTTTAAACCAATTCATATCTCAAATTTTGTTTTTAAATTCAATTAATATAGTTTCAGTTTATATATGATATAAATTGAATTTAATATTTTAAAAAATACCACTGGACATAAAAATCGAAGTAGCACTAATTACGGAAACTCGACTGAGCAGGAAACAGCTTTTAAAAATACCTCGAGTTCTGCGCTTGCGCTAGATTTGATTTGCCACGTTTCTACATCGTCTCCCACAGTTTCTCTTTTTTTAAGTGGAAAAAGTTTACTTTTTTTTACTTAAAAACTAGTAACTCTGACATCAACACAGCAGCAACAACAATGGACTAATGCCACAGTGAGTAGTGTTGATATTTACTGTGTATTCTATAGACAGTGAAGCCAGTATCCGAGGTGCCTTATCGCTTTATCGCCACTATCTGCTACGTCTGAGGCCCCACACTCTAGCTGTCGTGGCTCTGCCACGGACGAGTTTGGGCCTGCGCTCGTCGTTTCTCCAAGATTAAGGACACGCAGAAGAAGTTTTATTTTTTTTTTTTAGATGTGATACTTTCATCAAGTGATGTCCACTAAGAGATCTCATTCTGTTAACTCCACCCCTCGTAACTCACCACCTGAACAAAAAACTCGTCGCAGTAAGCGATAGACACCCTCTGGAACTCCTTCAGCGAAAATTGAAGACACCTCAACCACAACCTCTTAATTTCCTTTTTTAACACCCAACCCATACCAGGTGCTTCGAAACGACAGAGAGGTGATGGATTCTGCACCAATACATATAGAACCACGGTGTCCTCCGATCTTTGTCAAAAATATTGGAAATTTTCAATTATTGTGTATACAACTAAATAAAATCTGTCATGATAACTTTTCATGCCTTAACAGGACTAGTGACACAAAAATAACGCCTGCCACACCTGAAGCATATCGAAAAATAATCAAGTATTTAACTGGAACAGGTGCGGATTTTCACAGATACCAGCTGAGGGAGGATAGATCATTACGAGTGGTGATAAGAAACTTACACTCCTCAACCCCAACTGAGGTTATCAAGGATGAGCTAACGGCGTTAGGGTTCAATGTTCGCCAGATAACAACTGTTCTGAAATAAAATAGAGACCAGCCAGGAGTAAAAACTAAAATTCCACTGCCCTTATTTTTTGTGGATCTGGAGCCAACACCAGGGGTGGAAAAAATATTCAATATAGATCAACTCTATTATAACATTGTAAAGGTTGAAAAACCATATCCAAAAAAAGGAATCGTCCGTTGCCACAATTGGCAGGCATACGGCGACAATAAGTCATATTGCCACCACATGCCGCGCTGCGTGAAGTGCAGCGAGTCACACAAATCTGGTGAATGTACCAAATCAGTAAAAGATCCTGCAGTCTGCTCCCTATGCTTGGCAAGTCATCCGGCCAATTATAAAGGTGGCGAAATCTACAAAAACCTCAAAGCTAGATACAAGCCCCTGAACAACGATACTACACCTAAACATGAAGAGTACCCGCTAAAATCGTGGACTCTAAAGAATAAACATTTTGATTCCATAGAAAGTAAGCATTGGAATCTAGAATCATTTCATTGAATTGAGGATTAAGGGTTATTGTCCTCTATATTAACATTCCTAATTGGAAACAAACAAAAATATTACTTATTTATTCATTAAAAACAATAGACCAATCCAAAGCAGAAATATTTATAGATGAAAATATGGAAAAATGAAGTGGGCGGAATTTTTGCCTGTCAGTGTAGTTTATAAGCCAGTAAAGGAGAATATAGTGACAGATTGGCTATCTAGAGCCACAATGGTTAATGCAGTCGAAGAGGACAGCGAGGGTCCATCACGTGATGTACGCCAATTCTTAACTGAATGGACACCTAAAAGAGAAGGAGAGGGCGGTGCGAGAGACATAAGGCAGGGAGAGGAGTCCCCAGAAGATGAGAGCTCGACGGAGGATAGGCCAGCAGAGATTGAAGAAATCGATGAGATCATCAATGATAAGCGTCACCTTATTAATTTTAACATCTGGAAGACTAGGACAGCGGGTACGATGAAAATAGACTACAGCAGTTACGGTAGAAGCAAAGTTCACACAATCTGGTCGCAACCAGGGGTGCGTGAAGATCATATCTGTTGGGCGCTTAAGGATGCATCGGAACCAGGAAAGACGAATCATCTCTATGTGGGGAATGCCACAATATGGGAGAAAGTCAAGAGAATTTGGATCGCCGAGAAAATCGGAATAGATAGAATGTTTGTTCGATGCAAATATATGGTAGAAAGAATAACGGACGAAGAACGGCGAAAAGAAATGACACGTGCAGGGGAAAACGAACCATCGGGGAGTAAACGAGACCTTACAGGCATTCTGCAGAAAGTACTTTTGGTGAGGACTGAGAAAGACCATCCAGGAAACGCTAGGGGCGTGTGAGATGTGTATGCTCACGAAATACGACAGACACCCCCTCAGGGAAGACAAAAAGAGACACCCACTGGAGACGCCCCATTACAAGATCTCCAGATTGATACCTTCACATGGAGAGGATATAAATGGGTCACCATAATTGGCATCTTTGCTAAACTCGCTATGGCGTATCAAATACTGGAGAAATCGTCAGATGCAGTATTAGAGGCTTTACAAACATGGATACAATTTTATATATTTTATATAAAAACATGACATGACAATACAAACAGAAAAGTTAACCCTTTTAAAGTTATTGGGAACCTAATGTTACCACCGCTCGTAACTTTTTTTCGAGCTCCTTTTCGTTAATGTATGTTATATACATAATTTAATAAGTCGTCGAGAAGAGGACTTTGGCGAATTTTTATTGAAATTGGTACGTTCGTTTAGGCGCTACAGTCTATAGCTACGAGGTTTTTTGACCGCCGTCTTGAAAGTAAAAGGAAGGTAACTAGTTAAATTAAGGAACATCATCCTTGAGTCACCTCTGACGTAAAATAAAATAAAAAAAATTGAGGGTACTGCAATTTCGGATTAAATATTTATTATTCGAAATAATAAACCAAAAATATTCAATAATATCTAATACCCGAGAATTAAAATATATAAAATACCCGGGGATACCCGAGAGAATATCGTTCGATGGAGGAAGGGAATTTGACGATGTCGCAATGAGAGAGGAGGCGAAACGATGTGAGATAAACTGGCACTTTCAATACACCAGGACACACCAAAACCAGAGGAGGCATCGAAAGTTCTGTTTTTTTTTGTTTTTTTTTTGTTCTATGTATTTTGTTTTAATTCCTGTTTTTGCGATGTTATATATTTTGTTGTGTAGTTCTAAGAAAGATAAATAGAATTATAGTTGTTTTAGTCATGGAGTAATTTCTCTGTTGTAAACATAAGACAGGTGGACTCCTGAGTTTGTTTTATTACTATAATCACTGTATTTTTATTGTATTAACTGTACTAAATGCGAGGTAGTAAGGCTGATAGACATTTCGCTCTGTTCGAGGATTACTTAAAAGTTTTCGAAATGCTTTTCGTAAGCTGGTGGGGGGGGGGAAGATAAGGACAGGAGTCGGGCAGTATCAGCCTTAATACCATCCTAGAGTGTAAGCAAAGCCTTAAATGTATTTAAGACGGATTAGTTTACAAATAAAGCAGTATTGTTTCTGAAGCCGTGTAAGTTATTTCTCAACCTCTTTCCTTTTTTTTTTTATTGTTTCGTTTCACAATCGCATAAGTTATACACATACATATATATTAAAATTTTATATATATATAGGTATATTTTTATATAAAATCCGAAACCTATAATATATATATAGGTATATTTTTTAATTCCTATTCAGGTGCTCCTTATATAAGAAAGATACCAAACATTTCTGCAGTTGCTGGTGAACCTCTTTATTTACCTTGCCCTATAGCTGGATATCCCATAGATGTCATCACCTGGGAAAAAGGTAATTTTAAATAAAATTGTTAATACAAATAATATTTAAACCTGCAAAAAAACTGTAGATTTAAATAAAAGTGAGGAAACATTAATAATAACATAAGAAGGACCTTGAGACGGAGGTCAGGGATGCGGTCAATATATAATACTGCATACTTTGTATTCTGAAGTATCAATCCTTCATCAGGGCTAAAAAAAAAAAAAAAAAAAAAAAAATACAAACAATAAATAATAATTGGTTCAAGATAAAAAAAAAAGAATTATTAGTAGATATTAAACTAGTACATGTTATCAGATAAAGAAATTACAGGATAACATATTTTATGTAGCGATTTATAGTGTTGTTTGCATGCAATGTATTTTATATATATGTATATATAATGAACTACACCATATTAATAATATCAATTCTTGAGTGGTCCAATTTCAATGAATTCAAACATTTTCATTGACTTGGGGCCAGGGTGAAAAATTGGAGGAGGATCAAAGTGAAAATGAATGCGACGACCAGCAGCTTGATAAAATAATTCTTTAGATTTGTAATTAAGACATAATAACAAATGACAGTCATAACTCTTTAGAGATTGGCAGTTGAAATCACAATATTAGTCCCTCAGCCTGAGTAAAGATGTACACCTGAGCCACACCTGCTTATTAAGTGTAGTAGTAGAGTCCCTAAAAAACTCTGTTGTGAATATTTCAAGATATAGTCGATAGTGCACTGTCTTGGCGACAAAATAGGTCAATATGCCTTTTAAGTAGGTGTAAAACATGTATTACGAGCCTTGTTCATGAAGGGCTCTAGAAAAATCCCATTCCAGAATTATAAATTTGAGGTGTGATTGTGACTGAAGAAGATATCAGATTAGCTATAAGAAGAGCCTCGGTGGTAAAGTGTGCCCCGAAACATTTGAGACAGTGAAGAATGAATTAATGCCATTATCCGAACATGTCTCTATATATGTAGATGAGTAGTGGTGGATAAGGGCGACAAAATAGCTGAAATGTGTTGGGGGCTCATTTTACTCATTAGAATTATTTGCAATAGACATGTTAGGTTATTTGGTATCACTTATTGTCTTGTTTGCAAGTTAATTAAACTTATTAGGTGTGCTTTTTTGAGGTTTTAAATAGCGACAAATACCTTTTCCTCTCCAGTACAGTTTCAATTGTCCTTTATTTTTATTACAAATTCATTTATTTGGTCACTCATTGTGGGCTTGTATTTTATAGCCGACCTATTAATATGTTGGCAATCGCTCTCGGTTTTCTCGCTTATAGGCGCATTTAATAAGGCCATGTTAGGGCCTGGGGTCACCGATTTCAATTTCTTTTTTGTAATACTACTTGATATCATCATCACGAAATTCTCCATTGATACAGACTATAATTCTATTGTAAAAGTCTTTTTAGAATCATTAAAATAAAGGATCTTGGAATAATAATTTGAGCAACCGAAAATGTCAAAAAACTAATTAAACTTGAAAAAGTTATCGCATATTATGATCAATTTTGTGGTTTGAAGCAATTTTCGCTTTAAGTGTAAATACAATAAATATAATTTGATAAATATCTTCGTAACCATTGATTTTATCAAAAAATATATACCGTCATTTTTATAGAGATTTTAAATTACTTAAAAATGTACTGAACAATCTTTGCTAAAAAAAACTCACAGTTTCCCAGATTCTCAAAAAATGAAAAAATATCCGTTTTCTAAAACTGAACCTGATAAAAAAGTTTAAAAAAAGATATTTATTAACTCGTTATTATTGTAATAATTATTTTTTCTTTTTCTGCATAAAAAAGTAATCGATTGATATATAATAACCTAACAGTCCGGACAAAACAAAGGTAAAAAATTAATAACATAAATTTTGTTCAAAATTATATAATTTGTTTTCCTCGGTATGAGGGCACATTGGAAAGAACCCTCGGGCGTGGGTATAATATTTTGCGACCTAGTATCACCATAAAAAGTTTCATTGAAATCGGTGACCCCACGACATTGTGCTATAGAATCATCTAATAAATAAAATTATAACCAGGATTCTAATAGAAATGTAAGAAAGATTTCATTTCTATCTTTACTTTGTTGTTTTAGTTCTGCGCATGCGCTTGATTTGAATACCCACATTTCACGTCGTGTCCCACAGTTTTACTATTTTTTAGTAGAATAAGTGCTCAGTTTTACTTTTTTTTAAAAAAACTAGTTAAGCAGACATCAAAACAACAAAAATGGACTAACACCACAGTGAGTAGTGTTGTTATTTACTGTGTACTATTACAGACAGTGAATTTAGTGATTTAGCGTCTATAGGCTTAATCTCTATAGCCATAACAGCTGACGGCTCCCCTCTCCAGTTGTGGCCTCGCCACGTAACTGGCCGGTTCTCAGCCGTAGTTTTATTTATTTTTTTTTCCCCCTTTCTTTTTTTTTATATGCGATATTACCACCAAGTAATGTCAACTAAGAGGTCCCATTCAGTTGGCTCTACCCCACGTAATTCACCGCCTAAACAGAAAACACGTCGTAGTAAGGAACTCCTCCAGCGAACACTCAAGTATCTGTGTCTCAACCACTGCCAAGTACGTCTTCACAAGAAATGGAATCTCCATTTTTTACACCTAATCCATACCAGGTGCTTGAAAATGACAGGGAAGAAATGGAAGATGCACCTATACCTCGAGAACCACGCCCACCTCCTATCTTTGTCAAAAATTTGAGAAATTTCCAGTTGTTGTGTACTCAACTTAATAAAATCTGCCCAGGTAGCTATAGAATAGAATAGAATAGAAAAATAACTTTATTCTGGGACACAGTCCCTTGAGAATAACAAATTAGAACAAAATTAAAATATTACATCTGGCCAAAACAAAATAAACCGAAAAAAAGAAATAATGTAAAAAAAATATAAGGTAAAAACTCTATATACAAAACAAACTAAACTATATACAAAACCATTAATACTATGACAAGAAACTTAAAGCTATTTAAACCAGTATACACTTTTCCGAAAAAAAATAAAGAATTAAAAAATAAAAATATATCAAATTCTCTATTAAAATCCGCTCGAATGGTTAGCAAGTATCTGACTGTTTTTGTTCTAGGAATTGGAATAGGAGGGATTTGAATGTGGATATAGAGGGGGAATGTCGAATTTTGATAGGGAGGGAATTCCAGAAATTGACAGAGCGAACAATAAAGGAATTTTGGAATGAGGCAGATCTGTGAGAAGGCATGTAGAGGTCAGAAGGTCGAGATCTTGTGGACAGGGAATGGACTGAGGATTTGAACTGGAGAAGGTTGTAGGCGTAAGAAGGACGATGGTTGTTGATGATTTGGTAGAGGAACGTACCTAGAAAGTATTGTCTTCGGAAGGAGGGGTAGAGCCACCTTAACTCAGTGTAGTGGTGAGAGACATGGGAGTACCTCGGGGCACCAATAACAAATCTTACGCAGCTATTCATTAATCTTTTCAGTCTATCACGGAGCTCCACCGAGAGGCCATCATACACCACACAGCTGTAGTCAAAGTGGGGGAAGATGAGAGAGGAAATTAGGAGTCTACGGATATGTTGAGGTAGGAGATGGCGGAAGCGATGAAATAGTTTAAGGGTAGAGATTGTCCGACGGGAAATGTGAGAAATATGGTTGGTCCAGGAGAGGGTTTGATCTATGAAAAATCCTAAATTTTTAACAGAGGAGTAGAAGGAAATTGGCTGGTCATTAAGGTGTAATATGGGAAAGTCAGTATGGGATCTAATGAGGGGCTTGGAACCAATGACGATGGCCTGAGTTTTGGCAGCATTCAACTTTAATCCATTTACATTTGCCCAGGCATTGATTCGATCAAGATCTTCTTGAATCTTGGCAAATGCCCCCAGTAACTCAGAGGGAGAAAAGGATAGGTAGATCTGGGAATCATCTGCATAAAGGTGATGGGAACAATGGAGAATTGATTTAGGTAGGTCGTTAATGTAGGAGCTGAAAAGGAGAGGAGATATGCTTGAACCCTGGGCAACTCCAGAGGATAAAGAAAGGAAAGCAGATAGTGGTTGGTTGGGTATAGAGACTGCTTGGGTGCGTTGGGAGAGGAAAGATTGGAACCAAGAGATGGAACTATTGGAGAAAGATAATGATTTTAGTTTGTTGAAGAGGATGGAATGGTTGATGGAATCGAAAGCTTTGGAGAAGTCTAGAAGAATAAGGACAGTTAATTTTCTATCATCTATTGCAGATTGAATGTCGTTGGTAATTTTAATTAAGGCAGATTGTGTGGAATAGCCGGGACGGAAACCAGATTGGAGAGGATCAAATTGGTTGGAATTTTCGAGGAACTTGGAGACTTGGGATTGCACCAGTCTTTCAAGAGGCTTTGAGAGGTTAGAAAGAATTGAAATTGGACGGAAATCTTCGGGTGAGGATGGATTAGGCTTTTTATTTAAAGGAAGGACAATGGCTTTTTTCCAAGAGGTAGGGAATACTGAATTCTGAAGGGAGAAATTGTAGATAAAAAGGAGAGCTGGGAGGATTTCAGGTAGACATATTTTTATTAATTTGACAGGAATGCCGTCTGGCCCTATGGAATTGGTGTGGGATTTCATTAACGCGGTTAACAAGTCTGTGGGAGAAATGTCGGAAAAATAAAAGTTATTGTCGTTAAAGGATATCTCTGGAGCAAAGCCAGAAGAGGAAGGTAGAGAAGAGGTATTAGCGACAGATATAAAATAAGAGTTTAAATCATCGGAGGATACAGGATAGGCTGCGGTAGGGGATCTGGAAGGATTACCAATGGAAAGTTTACGAAGCAGTAGCCATTTCGATTTGATATCAGGAGCTGAGGAAAGGGTTTCATGGAAGTAGGAAGTTTTCGCACGCCGGATCCTTGTCTGTGCCAAGTTGCGAAGCACCCTGAACGCTTGGTAGTCATCTGCAAGCCTCGTACGTCTAAAACGTCTTCGGGCAGCGTCGCGCCTCTTCTGCAGATCTTTGATTTCCTGACA